GTGTCACAAATAATACCCTTTTATCATATTCTCATTCAAGTTCAGTCTTTGGAAAACTTACTTGGGCCAATCACAAGTCTTTTCAGACCAGGTAGTAGAATAAAGAAGTAGAATAAAGATTCACAGATAATAAGGAGTGGTGGCCTACAGGAACCTACAGGATTACTGATCAGAGAGCTAGTACACAGACAATAGTTTACATAAGACTGCGTATTGTTCCACCAACTTCTAAAAAGCTGTGTAATTAAGATGTGACTCACAATGAATTACAGCTATTTAAAAACTGCTAAAGCAACAGTTGTTTATTCTGGGAAGTTTCAACCAGAGCTTTCTATCTAAATGTCTCCTCACCTGCAAATCACAAGATCGACACTTAAATGAGAAGAGCCTGTCATTTTCAGATGTTGTACTCGTGTATAAAGTCCACAGAGAGACTTTGAGCTGGGTGGGAGCGCCGAGTTGCACATCTTAGCAACAGAGAGAATAATTTTCTGGCAATGTCTCAGGCCTTTGTTTTCTTGTTGGACCTGAGATAAGAACCATGGTTATGACCTTGAAAACCCAATACATCGCCTGGAGTGTGAGGCTCCAACTGGTTTGTGTTATTCACGCTCAAACAAAGAGGCTCAATCTGCCAAGACCAATAAGCAACACTGAAGTTGATGATTAAAGATGCAAGGTCAGACATAAATGAGAACCCAAGTAAATGGGAGTGCCCTGTTGAAGTAATTACAGTTGCATTCAAGTGCATCTAGAATGGCAGAGATGTTCCAGTCAATCTGATTTGTAATCAGATTAGCAGAATAACTGACTGTTTTGTCTTCTGTTTTTTTTGCACATGTGCTGTGCTTTCCCTGAAATTTCCTTTCACCATGTGATGCTTGAACATGTTGTACAAGATCATGAGGCCACCAGAAGATTCTTTTGCAAGTTTCGCAGCAAATACACTGAAACAAACATGTTTTCTGAGAATATGAGCAGTCGCCCAATTCTTTCCCCCTAGAGAACACTTGAAGTCTAACTGCAGCATGGATATCATAATAACAACAATCACTGAAATCCACTTTCATACATCAGATAACCAGATGAACAGGAAAAACTTAGAAACCACCCAAGGACTTTCATTGTTCCCTCTGCCCTGTACTGTTTCAAGAGCTCAGCAGCTTCACTGACAACAGGAAGTTCTTCAAGGGTACCCATCTGTTATATTTTGCTCAGTTTGTTGTGGAAATGCAGCATCTGTAATTCTAGCCTAGAGAGAAAAAAAGGCTCCCAGACAGCAACTTGAAGCTGATTATTATACACAGCAGTGTCTGAGAAATAACCCATGTGGCTGTAGGTTGAATGTCCTGTCTCTGCTATATGACAGATGCACAGTGAAAGTTCAGAGGGTGCAAATGGTGTTGAGATTCTGTGATATATACCTGCAATGCACCGAAATTTCATTTGCTCTTAATTCATTTTCAGTAATTCCAGTGTCCTAATACAAGCAGAATAACAATTGTGGGATGACATGACTTGGTTGAGTCATTTAGTCCACTGAGACTAAAGATGTACTCGATCATATTCCATGAAAAACAGCTGACTAAAGGATTGTGATAGTGTTGCAGAACGTGAGCAATGACGCATGGTATAACTGATTTTCTCTTTGTGCTCCTTATCTTGTAAAGTCCTGCAAACACCAGCCACAAAGACAGAAAGTGACTAGCTGCAGTTCATATTAGTTTTCCTGCGAGTGGACTATGATTTAACACCAACTCTAACCCATCTTTGACAGTCAGAATATGTCATTTTTATTGGTATTATAATCTTATCCCAGTCAGGAACAAATAATGATCACAAACTTTGCCTTTTTCCAAAAATAGAGTTTAAGGCTGGATTAGGGTTATGGTTGCCTAACTTTAACCTATAAAGGCTTAGACATTAGAAGATTAAAGAGTCTTAACTTGGAGATCTGTATTTTTGTGACAACTAAAAGAAGAATTTGATGTGTGAATAACTGGCCTTTACATTCATAAACAAAAACTAAATCCCTACTGTGACTTGTCTGAAAAACTTCATCTTGCAGAGGCCATGCAGCAGGTTGAGCAAAAAAGAAGGAACGCAGAGACACTGTGCACTGCTTGGATCATTATTCACCCAACGCTCGGTTGTGAATTCCTGTCCAGGAAGGTGACTGTTTTCCAGCTGGCAAATCTGACAAGTGTCCTGCATCACCTTCTGTCTGGAAGTAACTTTAACAAAATGGCTAATATCACAGCTTTCACATTCAACATGTTCTCTTTAAATGCTTCTACAGAGATATCAAGGAATGTTTTTTCAGCTATTTAATGTCTCTCATCCACACCAAGCCATTTGACAACCAGACCCACCATGCCTACACATGCCATCTGGGCAAATGTTTCTAGAGTCAAATAAACATATCCCATTAACGAGCTGAAGTCCTAACGTGCTGGCAGGGGACTAATCAGCTTATCCAGGAAGATTATCACCTTACGCAAAGACCCAGCTGCTGCCATCATAACTTGCTTTCTGGTATTTACAACTTTCAGTGTGCAGGTGTTGCATGACATTCACTTTTATACTTGCTGAAAGACATTAGATGAGGGGAGGGCTGTGTAAAGTAATCTAACGCTCAAAAACTCCTAATATTTAGTTCTCATCTTCGGCCTTCTCTTCTTTTCTTGGATAAGCCAACATACTAAGAACTATCTGAATAGTCCAGCCTGTGTAATGCTTACATGGTGCTTAAATACCCTCTGAGGAGGCATTCTAGTTACTGTACTACATGAAGTATCTTTCTCTGACACACACAAACATGCTCTTCCTCTATAACTCTTTCTGCGTCACCATTCAGTGCATTCAAACTGCTGTCTTGGGCATGCACCGTACAGCAAGAATGCAACAAGTATGTGATGAACTGCAGGTTTACGAGATACTCCTGCACTTCAGCAACAATAAATCACTTCACACACTTCCGCACCAGAGAATCAGTGTCACATATTTTCTGGTTTTTACATCACTCTGAATTTGAAGGATCAAGTTCTGTTATTAAAACACTTTTTTTTTTCTTATGTTTAAAGCCAGTGTCAATTGGACATTGAAGGAGTTTGTAATGACCGGCAAGAAGCAAATAAAGGTCTTTAAGTGGCAGTGTAATGACGAGACTTTCAGCCAAATCACTTTGTATTTAGGCCTCTGATATTACATATTTGGCTAAATATGCTTACATCTCAGCAGCTGCTTCCTTGTCTAAATATCAAGCCAAGTTTTTGGAGTTACTCAAAAATCCCCTATTGCTGTTGCTGCAGCTCTTCCATGTGAGCACAGTTTTTTATTGCCATCTCTTTCTGTAAAATATAACCTGCAATTAATTTTACTGATGCCATCACCGCAGAGTTATGAAACTCTTTCACAATGCATGCCATGCTTTTAACACTGGCACCCACATATACACGCACAGATTAATCTGGTGAGAAATTGTGTGATTAATTACCCTGAAACCACAACTTGCTTGCTGAACAAATTATTTAAGAAGTTAGGCATGCATCGGAAAGCCTGAGTTGCCATTGAAATATTCTAAACAACTCAAGGAGGTTGCAACAGGCTTGTTAACTCTCATTCTTCCCAAAACAATTATTGCCTTGGCCACTACACTAGTTTGAAAAGAGACAAAGAGACAGTAAACTTGATGATTCCTGAAGATATTATATATTTGATATATAGGCTGATATCATGATTGATGTCTATTTTTTGTTTAAGCTGCAGAGTTCAACTACCTTTTAAGGTTGTTTGCAGAGTCAAAAGCGTCAAGTTAGCAAGTAAACCTCTCGAGTGTGTTTTACGACACCCTCTGAGTCGAAGCATGCCACATCATTGTATTACAACTTTTTTTTAAAAAACATAATATTTTATTAGGTTTAAAAAGAGCGCTTTGGGTCACCTTCGGGAGTTCATCTTCTTCTCTCAAAGTTGTTTATCAGCCGTCATAAATCTAAAAGGTGAACCTCTTGTCTGAGGTGCTGCAGGTCTGTAGTTAAAGGGTAGTTTTAGGCCTGGTGGTACAGCTGAGCACAACACCTGGAATCCCTCAGCAACACCAATGAGCTCTGATGAAAAACAAATGTCAGCGCCTCCCCTCCGTCCCTTCTGTAAGGCCTGCAGCAGGACCGGGCTGTGTTTATCCTGGCCGAGAAGAACCTTTGGCTACTGCCAGATCAAACTGCCAGCGCACTGACTCCTGACCCATATTGTGAAGGTCAGGAAAGTTCAGGAGGTTTTGTGATTACTATCAACAATACATCTACTGGTTCTGGTACTACCATAAATAATATTAATAGTGATTAATTAAGATTTATTAATATAGTGTAATATTATATATTTTAAAACTAACACAAATGCCATTTCTTTAAAAAAAAAAATAGGTTAATAAAAGAAAAAAAAAAAACTAAAACCAGTTGAGTTGTTGCCAGGTTATCCGAATGTAGAATAGTTTATAATTATTTATAAGTATTAAGTATTTAAGTCACAGAGTTTATATTACTATGAAGGATAGGTTCACTAGCATTAGTTATCCTTAGTTTCATTCAAATTATAAAACACTTTTTCTACACTATATAAATATATCCCTGTGTTGTGTCGTTCTGTTTATGTTGAGACTGATGATTTTGAACGTCGATAAGTGTTGTTCGGCCAACTGCAATGACTCACTAAACCGTACTGGCAATTTCAGCTGCCAGAAATTAGACGCCCCCATCTGTCTGCTTTGAGAGTAAAGCTCCCGTTTATACACTGGCGTTAGGGCTAGCAGACCTCTGAGACCTGTTAAGATTAATTCATTGAGCAACTTCCAACCTGACTCAGTTTATATATATATATTAATTAATTTATTTATTTATTTTCCTACTTCACTTAAAGCAGCCAAATATCCCCTGTCTGTTCCCACAGCTCAATGAATGGATAAACACGCAGACGCAAGAGACGACAAAATTACTACCTACCCTGGAGACAGTTAACGGGGTGCTGAAATCCCGTCCTCCAACCAGCCGAAAACCCCACGGTGAGGGTCCCTTGAGTGTCACGGTCTGGGTCATGATTGCCAAAAAGACTGTGAGAGAATATCAGATAAATGACAGGCAGGCTGAGACGGGGAAGTGTCCGTGGTCCCTCGATATACGGATGAAAACAGGGAACGTGAACTAGCCACAGTCCTATGCCTAGCTGCTAGGCAACGCTGCCCCGGCTCTGAAAACTTTCCTCCTCGCTTGATTCAGGTTTAAATAACAAAGCCGCTTCTGACGTAGGACGACGGGCTGCCGTGCCCGCCTTCGCCCGGTCCATAGCAGAGAGAGTGGGAGGGGACGATGCTGGGTGTCGTGGCTGCTGCGTGTGGAGACTTCCAGTGGTGATATGTCACATACGAGGCAGTGTTTGTGCAAATGTTAATGGAGTGAATATAGTGTGCATGCCATTATCAGCTAAATGTGTTTGACTTGTCATTCATTCACTTCTACTCGCTCTACCTCAATGAAAGTAACAAAAGGTAAGTCTTTATTCATCTGCCACTTTCTGTTCTCAACTGCTTCTTTAGTAGGGACTCTTTTCCATTTGTATGAGTTACAGTTATACATGCCATTCTTAGTACACTAGTTTAAGGCATAATTTGTTGGACAAAGACACATTTTGTATTGCCTCTGTATCCCACCACAGAGGATTTTAAATCAGTCAATATGTGTGCAAACTTTCAGCTTCAAGTTAGGGGGTTTAACAAACATTTTCCACTAACTGTTTAGGAATTACAGCCCTTTTTATACACAGGCTCCAATTGTCAGATTAACTGAACAAACAAATTAACTGAACAAACTAACGTCATTTTTAATTTAAGGATTGTTTTTCATTCTTAGTTTTAGTTTCTTCATTTGCAGTCTTTGCGTTGTGACTACCTGAATCCTACAACCTACCAAGGCTTTACTGTTTCTTTTACTTGTTTGTGGGTCTCTCAGCATTCAGTTTTGGATTTAATAACTAAAAGCATGCTCTGCTGAGTTGAGATCAGGTGACTGACTTGACCATTGAAGAATATCCCATTTCTTTGCCTTGAGAAATTTTTGGGTTGCGTTTACGCTTTCCGTCATTATCCTTTAACACTGTGAAGCATCATCTGATCAGTCGTGCAGCATGTGGCTGAATCTGAGTGGAGAGGAAGGCATGCCTTACATGCACATGCCCGTAAAATTGTCTCCACCATGTTTGGCAGACTGTTTCTCTCCTCCAAACTTTTATATCAGTCTGGTACAAGGTCTGGGCTTCATTTACACAAAGAGAGAGACTGTGCAGACTCTTTCATATGTTTTCTGGCTTGGTCTAATCTGGTGTTGTTATTCTTGAGTGTAAACAGTGGTTTCTACCTCGTTGTAAACTCTCTGTATTTACATTTAGGAGGGCATCTCATGATTGTTCACCTTGACCACAATTCGCCTACCGCCTACCTCCTCCACTTCACTTGGTTAGATGTTATGAAGTTGTTTTTCTTAACCACTTGAATAGGATTATGCACTTTGGTTGTCTTCTGTGGCCTTTCGGGGCTTTTGGTGTTACTGAGCTGGTCACTGCAATCATTCTTTTTACAAATATACCATATTTCATTTAACCACTCCTAAATATTTTGCTGTTTCTCTGATAGGTTTACTTTGTAATATTTTAATGGCCTCCCTAATTTGCATTGACATCACTTGAAATTAAAAGCTATAAATAAAGCAAATTCAGCAGTTTCAATAAACTTCTGATATTATGTCTTCTTCATTTGCCATTGAAATAAAAAGGGATTGAGCCTCACCTGGTCGTGCTGTCACGCAGTCAGTCAATTGTCCAATTCATTTTGAGCCCCTGAAAAGGACACTGTGTGTGTAAAAATGGCTGTAATTCCTTAACAATTAAAGGACTTTTTAAAAAATAAAACCCCTCGAATTTAAGCTGAAAGTCTGCTCTTTGATCACATATAGACATCTTTGATTTAAAATCTTCTGTGTTGGTTCACAGAGACACAAACAAACAAAAATGTATCTTTGTCCAACAAATTATAGTTATAACTGTACCAAGCTTTAACGTTAGCATTGCTCCAAGTAATTGCTACTGTAAATGATTTGCTTTTTCATGCATATAATCTTTCAGTTACTTTGAACATACATGCTTAAAAAATACACAATAACCAAGTCAGTCTAGAAACTCTGTTTAAAATGTCTAAACTGTGAGAAGCTATCTATTAGGATACGCTTGAGCTTAACATATCAGAGTGTAACTGTAATTTTCACTGTTATTAAAAACCAAATTTTTAACAGGTAACATGTTAACCAAAATATTGGATAGACTGATGTTTGGATCTGATGCCAAGGAAAAGATTTTTAAGATAATCCATCCAAGAGCTGTTTGATTTGATATGGTTGAGGTAGGCATCTGTTGATATTTGCTGGCAAAACAAAACAGCTTTTGGGGAAGTTCACAAAATATCCTTGCCTTTAGGTCGTTGAAGGATAATCTGTGCGTGCACCTAAAACTAAGACCAGCCAATAACTTGCTTATCTGGGTCCTCCAAAAAATTCTGTATAGCCTGAGTGTCATAGAGTAGCAAGAAAAGATGTTATGCTGTAACTTGAATGCCTCACTAGCGGAAAGGATCTCTCCCATCTGTCAATGGATATACTAGTATCCTCTCTGCCCCACTTTCTGATTCGTTCATGTCCCCAGCCAATTACAAAGTGAGTCACTGAGCTAGACTATGATTTTTCTGCTGCAGAGGGGATGATCTCATAGACATTCCTGGGAATGTGTGTTTTAGACAACTGTAGACATGTGGAGCTCTGTCTGAAAATCTGAGTCACCTTGAATCAGACACCAGCCTATCCTGGTTACTGTGTAACAAAGTGGCACTGATGTCAGCACAAATGCAGCTCAGCATCAGGTATTTTGTGACTGTTTCTGCAAGCCTGTGTAAACTTTGCACAATGAGCTGCTGTGATGTAACAGAGTTGTGAAAACCTGAATGTATGCAGATCGTAATGATGCAAGGTGTGTGATTGTTTTAACAAGAGAGAACAGGAGAACGCGTGAGAGCGCGTGAGAGGAACGTTAAAGAAACATGAATTCATTGGACTTCCTTGAGAAAAGGAAGGTATTTTGATTGATTGCTATTATGTTACACAGAACATTTGAATATATTATTCTATTGAGATTTAAAGAATTATTCAAGAAACTTTTGAGCATAACTAACATGCAAATTATTTAAGGCCAAACATCTTAGTCAAAATAATTACTTCATTATTGAGTCCCGTCAGACATTTGTCCCACACACAATTTCCTACAATAATGTCTGACATTCTCAGGAGAGGCACAGATCCAAGGTCACAGTGACCTAGTAACTGTATAACATATGGATTTTGAGTTAAAGCTATAAACACATTTTGTGAACCTTTACTTTTAGTTACAGTTAACTGATAAAAAAATAATTTAAACATCTGAAAACTGTCTGGAGTTTGTCAACATGGAAAAAACAAAAAAACTAAAAATTGTAAATACAGGAAATAGTTTTACTATATGGTAATTTGGTAAAAATGTATCATCCTAAATTGCCTGATGAGGCTTTGTTCACATGTTTACTGAGAGTTTGGATGTCTATAAGTCTGCAAGTCAACTGCTCTTAAGAACTTCTGTGTTTTTAATGGAGTATTTATACTGATTTTCCTAAATCTTGCATCTGGCATATGCCCCAAATACAGTAAAACTTCAAAAGTTCTAAACTCAGACTGAAACAAATTAAAAAGAAAACTAAAAGTAAAAAGTAAAAGTAGAAACAAAAAGTCAGAATGAGTCAAAACAAAACCTAATTACAAAATACTGCTTTTAACAAAATTCTGACCAGTTCATTCCTGAATCCAGGTGGATATTAGAGCCAGACAGTATTTCTTGCAGACAGATTCAAAAGACAAGAGCAGATATGAGATCATAATAACCTTCTGCTTCTTTATTATAATGATGAGAGAATTTTTGAGTTAAGGCCACAGTGTGTTTTGTGAAGTGATAACAACCTTGAATTTTGACCCTTGAACCACCGAGTTTGAATCAGTTCATCCATCATTTTATGGCAAATCTGAATCAAGGTATTCCTAAGATATTGTACTCATTGGTTTCACAAAAAAAATCAAACCATGTATTGGTGATAGCCATTCATGGTTATCACCAATACATGTCCATACATTTGTAAACAGAGTACTGATATTCTGAAATGTTTGACCAAACAGCATTCAGAGACTGCTCTTTACTTGCTATCAAGGGCACATCAAAGGATGACTAACCAAAAACCAAGAAAGGCCGAGACGGCTGTAGATTTATTGAGCAAATCAGCAGGCTGACATCTTCTTCAAAGCCCGTCTGCAGTAAATCTGAGTCAAACTACAAAGACCTGCCATCTCTCTGTTCTTTCCTCCCTGGATGGTCATCATTTTGACGTACCCACTGCAGAGTCAAAGAAGCCTTTTCAAATCACTGCAAATCTATTTACTCTCTTATTTTCTTTACAAAGCTAAGAAGTACCTGAGGGGAAGCAGGTAAGACGAGCAGTGATGCAATCATGAGCTGTTTTCCTCCACCTGTTTTTATTCTCTGCAGTCTGGGAGATTTTTGTCATCTGTGCTATTACACAATCACACAGCTCCTTCATTATTAATAGTTAGAGCATAATAATTATGATTATTATCAGAAAATATCTACAGATGTCCAGTAAATATGTTCTTCTGAAGTGATAAATACATCTAGTAAACAAGGGTTTTTTTTGCCCTAGGTGTTGTTATTCTTATCATTGTTGTTTTTTTAACAGAACACATCTTAGAATGTTTTCACTAGTGTGAATGTCCAAAGAAAATAACTCTGTGAATTGTATTTAAACTTTAAAACACAACAAAACCAGAGGTTGGATTAATGATATCTGATATTATGTCCTCAACTAGCAGCTATTATAATAACTCAATCTAAGATCTGACTTTAAGTAATGTGAGACAAGTCATGCATAAGACAAATCATCAACCAAATTAGTTGTTTTCTTTAAATCTAGGGACTATTTTATTCCTCTTTGGCTCAATCTCACTATTTTCCTAAATGCAGCATCCACAGCACAGCTGATTTTGGCAATGAAAAGCTTGAGAAACCAAAAGAACATAACCTGCCCAACACCACACAGTAAAAGGACAGTTAATATGTAACTGGTGGACATAGTGGAGCAATTAGCG